AATCAGTATCTGAGACAACTATTGTCTTAGTCAGTATCAACTATATCTTCGACCATAGACCTTTATCAAGCCTTCACAAGAAGCAAATACATGTTACACAAGATGCACGTAAGGTTCTCTGAGATATTTTTAGAATAGGTTGGTAATTAACAAGCTAATTAATAATCAGCTTTCACAACCCAAAGATCCTGGTACTATAAAAAAGGTGCTTTATATTAAAACCGTGCGAGTACAGTTATTTAAAGTATACATTTTACAGCCCCGTGTCGCCGATAGACATTTCGAACACTGCAAGCATCTCAAAGCTGTCAATTTAGAAAAAACGTAGGCAGTTTTTACTAGAACAATCATTCTTTAAACACGGAATTTTAAGGTTGAATCGAATCTAAACCTGATAAAAATTTACATAGGCCTGTGAAAAACTTACACTGATAATCCATAACTTTTTGAAAATGTGTAATAACATTTTCATTGTGCTTAACAAAATAATCCAAGAAATACAAAACAATTATATTAAAAGGGAATGTTATAAGATACTATAAAATTGTATTGTTAAGTACACAATTAATGGCGCAGTATTTTTCCTCAGTATTGATAAAATGATTTCAATATTTGTTTTTCAGTAACAGAAACCAATTGGATTTTTTGAAAAAAAAATATCAAAGAGAGATTGCCTTAAGACAATTTTTATGTATTGAAAAGTGTTTTTTTTTTCACATTGTATTTGTGATAAGACACTATAATACAATTTCAAATATGTCTGTGTGTCTACACATGTTGTGATTGTGACAGTACGTAGCCTTCAGAGGTCTCACCAACCTTTTGGTGAAGTGCTCAAAATATATATTTTTTCTAATATTGTGTGTAAAGCCCTTCGCACACTCGTTTCTAATGAGAGACGACGACTTGACGAAACGACGTGCGGCTGTGTCCGAAGTCCGAGGTAAACTGTAAATAATTATTGAAAACGCTTTGCCAATAGGCCATTGCTTAACGACGTATTATAATAATTAACGATGTAAGCCTATCGACGAAGTGTACGACAGGCCTAATCCTTAACATGTTTTCTATCCCTGCTTTTAAAAATGATACGCCTTTATGTTATCTCCACCAGTATGAGCGGCAGACTAAATGTTTCTTTAATCTTGATTTAATGATCTAGGAAATGTATTTTAATCATTAAAACTTTGGAAAAAGATCTTAATCTCTGCTCCGCTCTGGAAGGCATATTCCTGAGCATAATGTTCTTTTCTGTCGTACCGGTACTCGATTCTCTTGTCCCAGACCCTGATGTTTTAATCTTTTCCTTTTGTGAGTTGATTACGATTGCAGTATTCTACTTCCCTTAAACTAAAATTATATAATTTATCCTTCGTTGGACATCTTAAAGTCAGCGTGGTTCCTTACAAAACTGACAATCTAACAACTGTGTGGAAACATAAGTCGTCAATGGAACTGCAAGAGCGCCTTTCCATTTTCTTATCCACTGTGACTTGTTCCTTTATTTAAGGCGTTTTTCAACTAATTAGAGTTCATTATTATTCTGTTATTTATAAGTGTCAAATCACAAGCCCCTGATACAATACACGCTTGAACTTGTAATATGTTATTTTATATAATAATTTGTTTTTGTTGGTATTTTTTTTGTTAACTGATTTTGAAGATGTTTTCCAAGTATATTTCTATGGCTAAACTAAATTATTTTAAACGACTCCTACGAAAGGTTCATGCAATGATAATTTAATTTTTTTTTAAATGACTAATTAATTCAATCTTAAATATTCAGCAGTTTGCTAAAAGAATTCTTAAAATACCTTAGCTTTTTAATTACTATGTCATCTCTGTCTGGGGAAACACTTCACAACCAGTTGGATGTATTTTTTTACGCACAACGTTGACTTATGGAGGTATTAATTAATGAGTTCATCGGCGAACCTGGCTGGTAATACGATAGCAGATGCAAAGCTCTGCACTCAAATGTATCGAACCACGAAGAGTGAATGCAATGAGATTGAACTTTTGGTAAAAGAAAATCAATCAACACAAGAACCTTACACACCCTTAAAAATGACAGTGGTACATCTTGATAAAAAGAATTCGACACTTTGCTGTTGTATTCAACTGCCGTGATTCCTTCTAAGTGTAACCACTGCTACTATTTGTTTGCAATACCGTATCCTTGTGTTTCAATACCGTACTCTTTCCTTACGTTTCTCACTAGATCAATAACAGTGTTGTAATATAGATTATAATGTTGGCTGTATCGGCAGCAAAATTCCTTTCCTTTTAAGATTTTACAAGTATTGGTTTGTTACCTGTCTTTCCTTATTTACTTCTTAGTATTTTCCTTAAGCAGGTCCTTAGAAATGCTTTTATTTTCTGTTCTCTTTTATCAAGCTCTTAGCAGATTGGTTATTTCTTTCTCAATGCTGTGACAGATAGTAGTATTTCGGTGTGAATCACAGCAAGGATAACCAACGAAGTTTGAGGACTTGTTTCCAGCGGGGTCCTTCTGGTGGTGAATTAGGCAGTACACCGGGAGACAATCTCCTACTCTTTTCCGAAGCGTGTATTGCGTTCTCTAACGTACATAGGCCTACGGGCCAATTTGCACACGGGACCAACGGCTTAAACGTCTCATCCGAAAGACGGTGCGCTATCGTAACTTATATTTCAGCCCTCCAGCTGAAACACAAGGAGAGCAGGAATTTAACAGGGGACCAGAGATCTCCAAGGTTCAGCACACACAGTGGCTACCATCAGATAGCCGACTGAACTAAGCAGTTCTCAAAACAGAGACAATATGTATGACTGTCCTGATATTATTTTAGTTTAACTGGTTAATTTCAAAATAATACCTTCTTGGATTCAGATTCAAACTTTCCTCTCTTGTTTGGATCTTTGGTGAATGCCGTGTCCGTCTATAGAAATCGTTTTAATTTAGCATGATATATTTTTTTTCTGCAATTTACTTTGATTAAAGATGTTCTTGATGATCTATTCGATGACAACGTGACTCTTCTTTTATGTAATACATTAAACAAGTGTCTGGTATTCCCAGGTTGTGATATGCACATAATTTTCAATCTGCGTCTGTTGTTGTTCAATCGTCCCACTGCAAATTTTCCAAGAAATGGATTCCATGAAGTACCGTCACTGCTAACTCTTGCATTGAATTCTCGTTGGTGTAAAGTTCATCATTGTTTGGTATATATGTAATCCATTGTTTAAGCTTTTGTATAAAACATTCAGTAACATCATCTTAGCATACATATTGAATTGACTGAGCATTGATTGTATTTAAATTTATAGATAGCCTGCGTTTATTACCAGCTGATGTAGGTGGCTGTATTTATGTATTTTTTTAATGTTCTTGTTTTTCTACTTTATGTGTGAATATAGACATTGATACGATATAAATCATACACAGTTGACTTATTATAGGAACATAATTCTATTAGGCAGGAATATTTCGTCCTCTCCTCAAGACTTCCTCAACGTGAATGAGACAACAGTAGAAAATCATTGCCAGGTGAAACAATGAGGTACACGTCCATATAATTCATATAATATAATTTATTCGACATTTCACTCTTGTAACAGCGGCAACACACAACTAAGAAATATTTAAGCGGTAAACAATAAACGAAGCTAAAAAATAAAAAATAAAAATAAACAAAGTGCTTAAGTTAAAGAAAACAAAATAAATTTAGGCAAAGCTTAACAAAAGTATACTACGAATACAAAACTAGAATTCAACATAAACAAAAGGCTTAACAAGTAGGCGTATTAAATAGAACAAAGAGAGGAAAACTTAAATTAACAATGTAGAATCAAACCAGTTTCAAATAAGTGCGTTTATCCCATGCAAATTTTACATAATGTTTGCAATACTTGTCTAATGCGGTTAAAAAAAATATGTGTAATAGGAGAATACTAGGGTGATTAAGAGCTCAATTCTTAGTGAATATATAGCCACTAACAAAGCCTAGATCTTATATATAATACAGACCAATTATCAATTGTGTAAGATGGTTGGGATACAATTGTAAAGTCACATATTCCCATATCCCAGCACTGCTATTGTGATATTGCATTGTGTTCTAATGCTGCTCAGCAGCAAACTAATTTGGACATTGTATATGCTCACTACTTAAATCTACAACTGCGTTTCTAAAAGAAATTGCAATGATAAAAATGCATCACTGAAGCACATAGACGAAGATCACTAATCTACATTAAATACAATCTTAAATACATCTCTTTGGCAATCAAATCGTTTGACAAATAACACTTCGATTTCTCTATTTCTACATGATTCCATTATCACTATTAACAGACTTACAATACACATAATTATTACCTCCTTGTGTATTAGCAGAGATTTTATTCTTTCTCAATTATCGCTCTAACGATTCAAAGAAAACAAAAATAACACGACGCAATTGATCAACCATCAGCAAAAGCGTGTAGCGATTTCATGAAAACCAATCTTTACCAGACTAGCCTGATAATCTAGTAATTTAGCACTATCATGCTGTACTCTCTTATTGTTGTCAGTTACTTTTGACTATAACGAAAATATAATGTGCAACGTGATTAATCAACATTCGGTAAAGTCTAATTAAGAAACAAGTATTTTTTTTTTAATTCAATCAACCTGTTTCCTTAAATTTTCTCTGACTCCTTTTTTTTTTTAAACCCTAAGGTGGTTCTTGCCATTTATTGTACTGAGTGATTTTTATGTAAATCTGATGTGATTTCGATGGTTTTTTTTACTATTTATTTATATCATAATGTTTATCACATGAAATTCAGGTTCATCCAGGTACTCTGGAATTTTTTTTTCTTTTACTTTTTTTAAATAATTTATAATTGAAAATCAAAATTAATTTTATGATTAACATGGTACCAGTTTTGTAAACCAGGCTTGTGAACATGAAAAACTATAATTTTGGCAAAAGTTTATCCAGTTGACTAACTTGATTTCTCCTTTTTAGGAGTGTGAGCGGGAAACCCGGTTGTCATCCAGACTCACAAATTCAACATTGTTAATCCCAGACAAACAAAAAGCTATGCTGACAGATTTTTCAACCTTGCATTTCTGTTTGAAACTCACTACTTGCTGATTGTTTTCCTCAAGTTTATGACCTCCCTTTATATGAGGAATGTGAATTCCTTTGTTTTGCTCCATTGAGTTCTTCATTTCTAGCCCATTACTTAGAGTGGCCAGCTCTTAACCTTGTTTTGGAAGATTTAAAAAAGTAATTGTTGAATGTTGCGACAGTGATAGACAACTCTGGGAATAGACAGCTGTAGAGTGGCAAAGTGCTAAATGTTATCACTCAACATGAATCAAATTAGTCTGCCTTAAGTCCAGTGAGCTCTCATATATTCCGTTTAACTGGAAAACCTTTGCTGCATTAGCAAAATATTTTCTTGAGTTCAGCTGATAAATCGTGCATTACATTTTACGTATAGTGTTTTCTTCTCATTTATTGTCGAATTCGGCTACTATTTCTTGGTGTTTTACACGTGGATCGATAGACGATCTTCAAGATATATCACGTATTTGTAGCGTAATCCTCTGATCTGGAGGATAATGGTGACAGGTTTTGTAGTTATTAACACGGTGGTGAAGTGTTCAATAGTATTGGAATGCTGTTATGATCTCTACTGATCGGTGATAAAATACAGACGTACCTTTTACCCCTTACTCGTAATAATACTAAACATCCGCTGATGCACATTAAGTGAAACCCTATATATTAGTACGTGATTTGAGCACATATCGAGTAATATTTACGGTACAGCGTTTTATTTTTCAATGTTGTAACACGTATCTATCGGTTGCTTAGAGATGATAATAGGGCTATGTTATCTAAAACAAGTCCTTAGCACGTCTCACTAACATTGTTCGAAGTCTCGTAATTTCCGCAATAATTTTGTGTGATTCTCAGAACAATGTCACGTAAAGGCAACATTCGTATTTTTGCGCTATACAAAATTTACATAGCAACCAATACCACTAATTCCCATGACAGTATGACGTAATTAGGTCTATCATGATGACATCGAGAAAGACTGTGATGAATGTAAGTAATGAGGTATTTTTTAATGTTTTAGATTTGATTGCGAATAGTTCAGAGTTTGACGGGGAGGCCATAGAATTTGTGTGTTTTAGATGTGTTTTTCTGAATGTAGATAACATTCTAACGATCACGATGTGGAATTTACATGATAATCCCACTTACAGTAATTCTACTTCAAAACTTTACGTTTTGATATAGGCCTATTAATTGACATGCTAAATGAGACAATTCTAGTTACAGCTTTTTTTTTTACAGGTATTGATCACTCTGCCCAGACGATTTGGAACCTTAATACTTGTATATATAATAATCAGAAAAAAACATAAAATAATCACCTCTTGCGGCCTTGCGGCAAAATTATGTGTGATTTTACAATCTAGCTATTTAGCTATTTTCTATCATCTATAAGTAACTAATAAAATATTTTGTTACATCTTATGCTGCCCAAAATTGGTAACCTGCTCCCGATAGTTTGTACTTGCAACAACCCTAGTTCTGGTGGGTAAAGCTGACCTCTTAAGCACTCCAAAAGTAGGAGTATACCGGGATGGAAAAAATTGGGTCGAACAATAAGAAAGGTCCACCACTGCAGTTTAAGACGTTCAGCGTCAGTAGGCTTTAATCTAGCTTATGTGATTTTTAAGCCTGTGAGTAGGTTTTTGTATGTAATCCGTCTAAATTTATAAGTCCTTTGTATTATTTCTTCAGCAGTTCTAAAAAAAAACGTCAACTTTACGCCCAATCATGGTAACCCTCTATGAAATCCTTTTAAATGATGGAGGGGAGGGTAAAGACTAAATCTAGCAGCCACGAGGAACATGATATTTAAATATCATGAATAATCAATTACCAGTCCGGGAAGTGTGACGGCGGTATGAGTCGTGTCTAGCGAATCCTAGCGAGCGTTGGAACGAGTGGAATTGTGTCCAGTCCAGCTTGCGAACCGTGTTTCATGATTCAGCGTGGGTATGATGTGATTGCATCTCGATATATCGTCGTGTTGTGGGCCTAGGTTATGGAGTGTCATTGTTGTCAATAAATGTTCTCTGCAGTCTGCTAGATTTAGTCTTTACCGGAGGGGAGTTTTCAAGCAAAGCAAGCTTTGGAGTACTATAACCCACTGAATGTTTTGGGAAATATCAAACAGTAATAGAAATAAAAGATAAATATATTCGTTTTGGAAAATTTACGATTACAATCTGTATTTATATAATAGAGTTCTCACTCTAATGAAAGACCCCTCCAATTAAGGGCCACCTCTAATTAAAGACCGCTATTCTGTGGTCCCAAATCTCTTTTATCTTTCTTATTCTAATGAGAGACCAAAGCTGCTGAAAACCATGGAAGACCCGGTCCCAAAGTGGTCTCTAATTGGAGGGAGACCTGTATTTATGGAAGAGGGAAATAACAAGAACAGCACGAGTGAGCCGAAGGCTAGGGAAAACATTGACGTTGTGAAAGATTAGTTTTACCTTACAGTATTTACTTTCATATATAACATCATTTCACTAGTTCGTATAGGCATATGTCAGTCCCTTCACCGACTTATATTGTGGTTTCTATTCCCCTTTCAAGGGGAATACTACAAAACAAATTCTTTGGCCTACTCAGTTTTTTGAAAGAAACAATTTCTTCTTCGTTTTCGTCTTCCTTTGTTTCTTCATTTTTTAATTTCTTTTTCTTCTTTCTCTTATTTTTTTATTTGTTTTGTTTTCTCGTCTTCGTCTTTATGATGTGTGTTGTCGCCTTACACATGATAAAGAATTTGCAGCTTATATAAACGTTCGAAGCAATCTTTTTTTTTCATGTTACAAGAATTACTAGAATTTATTGCTTTTGTAGTCATTTTCATTCAACAATACAGTTTACATTCGACATTTCTCAGAGCTATTTATCAATTTTGGACATAATTTAGTACCAATAATTCTATCTTCAATACAAAATTATTATACAAAACAACTATATCCTAACCAATCTTCAATATTGTATAAAGTCTATTCTAGTCACAAATGATTTATCTGAGAAAGATTTGCAAAGATAATGAGGACTTTAAAGTAAAAGCCGACGAAATGTTGCAATTTTTAATGACAGAAGATATCCTAGTAAAATAAATACCAAATCCTTGGATAAAGTTAGTCGTACTGTATGTCCTAAGATGTCACTATTGAAACACGTGATCAGAATAACTCGGACAGATAACTATCAATCTTAGCATATTTTAATATCAAACTTATGTCTAACATTATGTTATCTACTGTATTCCAAATGAGTCCATTCATAGAAAGATAGGCCTACAGATTCACTTAATTACTTTATGTTATCAGCAAACATTTTAAAACCCAGGTTTTGTTTTTCTGAAAAATGTTTTATATTTTGAAAGAAATTTATTATTTAATTGATTTTAGAATCCCCGCCCCTACTCTCTACTCAGTTTTGTCCCTCTCATTTCCACTACGGCACTGTCGATTCAAGAAGATCCTCAATCACGTGACATTTCTGGTCAGATTTTATAGTAACTAATAGTATAGTAATTATAGCACAATGTGCTAACAATGTGTAAACACAAAAAAAGTAAGTTGGTGTAATAGTGAACATATAGGTTGCTAAGTTTGTTGTTTTACTGCTATATAATACAAATAAATTATATTAGAAAAATAATTGTAATTTTAATAGAGCCGAATATAAGTATATATAAGTGTCTAAAATACAACACTTAAGAGACATAACCTCGATAGGTACACTCTTTATTGTTGAGAATCGGAAGCGAATAATTAGTTATTGCAAATGCACTATAACACCTGTTTTGTATCCTAAATTATGGCGTTATTGCAAATGTAGCTAAGAAAATAATGTTGCTAACCACTCGATCAATATCATGTTGTCATATTACTAGATAACCTCAATTACCATCTCTATATCATTATCCGTTTTTCGTTATGCAATAAACATAAAATATAAACATTAACATTTCCCATTAAACCTTGAGTCAAATTAACTACTACTTTACCTAAGTGATATAATTTATATACACATAGGCCTATGTATATACATATATAACGTATTTTAGTTTACTAAACGGTAGCTCGTAAAGTCATTTCGTGCTCTCTTAAGAGTCAATTCGTATGTGGGTTACCATCTCTCGCACTCACCGTCTGTCCTCGAGAAGACTTGCTCCACACCAAAAATGTAAAATGATCGTCCCAGTCCCATCCTAGAATAAAAGGAATGTACAATCAGTTAATAACATTAACGGAGACGAGCGCCTCCTGTGAAGAAAAATCAAAATGAATACATACTGCCATCACCTTGGTTTTCAGTGGCGGACCTAGGAATTCGAAATAGAGGGGGTGGGGCAGGGTGGGTCATTCTGGCAGATTGAGGGCACCAGAATACCACCATAGTTAGGGCAGTTGTAAAAAACTTTTTGATAATATGACATTTCTAGATGGCCTGGAATATTACTCTCAGAGTTAAATTTAAATATAGTTTTTCTGATTTTTCTCCTCTTTTGTTTCTTCCATTCAATCCCACTATGGCTTCTGTTTATTGCTCGATGAACGGAACTGTAATCAGAGAAGCCCAGGTTCTTATTTTTCATAAAAATGTTTATCATACAGATTTTCGTCATTTTGTGTAATACTTTCATGTTGCACAGTGCGTTGTAAGGCGTCACAACGCGTCGCTACAGGAGGCGATAGCTTCATGAAAAAAATCTCCCTATTTTTTGGTTTTCAAACTTGGGATCCCTGCAGATGTACTTACAGCAAACATATGGTACACAATGACACCAAGCAAAGCTAAGTTATTTCCATTAGGTTTCATGGGACTTAAACTAATAACGATTAGTTGAAAAATCATAGGAGTACCATTAAAATAGCTAACACGTGACACCCTAAATATTATCAAGAAACTCGTGAACGAAGAATCTCTAGTGATACATTCTGGCAATGACATTTGAAAAAGTGCCATGTTGTAGACAAGATTTAAGATCCATTAAATACAACCTATAGACATCCATGTTAAAAAACACATGTTTCCTGGCATTTAAGCCCTATTTAGAAATCAAATTACTATACCATGCATATTTGTTTGAATTTTAAATTTTAAAGCAGAAATAGCTGTGTGCAAAAATAATTAAGTTGTTTGAATAAAGTTAGTAAAGACTTACACCTGTCAGTCAATAGCGTGGCGCATTGAACACGATTAACGGCCAGCAATCTGAGTTATGCTAAAATATTTTGCGAAGATCTATTTTATTATATATATATATATATATCTGTCTCTTATTTCAAAGGTACACATTTTAAAATGCATTGCTAAAAATAATAAAAAAAATAATCAAAGAAAATAA